CATTTGAGGAAAGGTACTGTATTTATGCATTGTTATTTCAATTGCTGTGCATTTCAATACGCTTTATTTATTGTTCTTTCTCATTGCTCGTTTGCTTTGTGGATTAGTTCTGGGTCAAATGCTTGTATCGAGCACTTATTAGCTAGTTTCGAGATAAAACGCTTGATTGCCTATAGTTGGACGCACTGCCGCATTAAGTAAAAGTCGTCAGCAGTGCCTTTTTATAATTTACTAGCTATGTCAACGACTTCGTTCGTGTTGAATAGTTAATTTGGAGTTAAAATTTGTTTTTGCAAACCGAATTCAAACAAACAAACAAACTCTTCAGCTTAATATATATAAGTATAGATAACTTTTGAGTAAAATCGAATTATCGAAATAAGAGATTAAAAATCTACAATCGTTATGCTATATGGTGCTAATACATTGCATCGTATACTAACTACCGTTCAGAAAGTACTAAACATTGATAAATGTGCTGAAATTTACGCTGCGCAAGATCCTTTTCGCATCACTATCCTTCAAATAAAATTACTTTTTTGTAATTATCACTTTAGCGTAATTACATTGTACTAAATGAATGCCACATAAAGATATTTATTATAAAATAATATTTCATTGATTTCAACCAACTGTTCCGCGGGCACTACAGCGGGTTCGTCCAGCGGGTGGTTCCCACCACAATCACTAAATTAGCGATCGTTCCAGGATGGACAGCTTTAAGGAACTACGTTGATGCCACCTTCTAGATCCAAACCCTGGATTAGAACTTGAAAGTTTTTAAAATTATAACCTCTCTTGTATCGAAATATTACAACTGCGGTCGAATGTACTAAACACTCACAGGCCGTTTATAAGAGAATGTAAAAAAATCTAATGTGTGAAGTTAAAACTTTATTGTTTTGTACAGGTCAAAGACATAAAAGATATAGCTATCTCGCCAGGTTTATGACTCATGTTTTATTAATTAAAATTTATCTGTTTGTATATGGTTTTTGTATTTTGAAATCTTTTTACGCTAATGATTTAGTTGAGCTACAGTGTTTTGCTTTTCAGTACCGTTGGCGAGCGACCATCAAGCTTGTATCTACAAACAAATACTTATCGCATACTTTCTCATATTTTCTCCTATATTTAATTCGTTAACAAAAAACTAAACTAAAACTTTTATTTAGCTTTCTTTTATCTATTTTGTCTATGACATTGTATTAGCTGTAAGTTTTTCATATGTGAATAAATAGATAAATACTTTAATAACCGTAAGGCCTACATTTCTTGTACTGTAATAAATATTTTCAGACGCAACCAGTTATGAAATTTTGTAGAAAAGGTTAAAAAAACAAAAATAAAAACAATTTCATTGTCCATTCCACATTTAAAAGTCACGTTTTAAGCGTTGTTTTTTTTTTACGTTAGTACCCTTATACAGATTCTTAATTACCGCATTGTATTGTACAGGTAATTAAAAATGCTATATTTACAGTTTAAAGACAAGTGGTACATTTGATGTATTCGCTCTAGATTTCGGTAAGGATCCGCCGTCAGGCGCAGGCTGTACATTTAGACTCGAAGTAGGCCATTTGGCCGACTGCCAACATTCATCAGTTTGTATGCTGAACGAAATCTTAAGTTTTATGGCCTAATAACTTCGTAAGGTGCATAACAATATGTCGCTGTTAACTGTCACATCTTGGATTAAGATTTTTTTTATTGTTAACGTCCTCCCGTCTGTTAACTTCACCTTTGTGTGTGTAGGCAATACGGTCAACTTGGAGTTTTTGTTGTTTGTTTATTTTTGTTTTAAGTTAATAACTAGTCAATTAAAATTTAAATATTAAATATTGGTGGATCGTTTAAATAAAAAATTAAACGGTTGATTTCAATCGCACTTAACATTATTTACCTAATTTTTACAAAAGTAAATATATAAAAGAAGCACAGATTCGTTGTATTTAATGGAATTTGTCAGATTATTGTGCCCGACCTAACCAAACTATGTATCTGTGGGTCAAAATGGTAATTTGATTAACAATTCCAAAAGAAGGTTTGTTTAGTAACTGGTACCTTTAAATTGAATACATTTAATTTAAAGTGAAGCACTTTGAACGGTTTATTACGCGAAATATGTTTATTTCGTCGCTAGAAAATTGTTATTTTAATGATTGGTGTTATATAAAATGATGGCCTCTGTAGCTGAGTGGTTAAAATTGATGCCTAGCATCGCGTTAAGCACTAGAGGTCCTGGGTTCGAGTCCCGGGGAAACAGGGCACAAGTCTGATCTACTAAAGAAGTTAAATAAAAAAAAAAAAAAAATGTAAATAAAACCGATCATTGAAGCAGTGGGAAACGTGATTTTACTTTTTCTTATATAAATATAAATTCCTAATAGACAGACAATAAGTCTAGTGCTTTTAAATAAAACTTTTTAACGGTTTAAAACGCGATATATCTTAGATAAACTTTTTTGATAATTATTTTAACGACGGCCCGTTTCGGATGCTTTGCAACAGCCGTGGTCGCCCCATGACCGGGCCGAAGTTAAAAATAATTTTCAAATAAGTTTAACTAATATATCGCGTTTTAAACCATTAAAGTGTTTAATTTAAATGTGTACTACTCGCGTAAACTATAGACAGTATTTAAATCAGTGCTTCCTACATTTAAACAAGGTAACGGATTTCAAAATTAATCGCTCGCAGTTTTCGTCGGAAATTGTTCTGTGTAATTACTGGTTATTACCGCTTCAATCTTCTTATGTCATAGTCCATACAAGTCCGAAGGCCTAAGGCAGCAATTAGAGGTAAAAGCTCGATCTTAAAGAGAATTGGTTCATAAGAAGTAAGCCGAGGGCGCCGCTTCCTTTTCTACTTAAACGTGTTTGCATCTAGTATGTAATTTTTGAGGGTGTTGACCTAAATGTATGATAGTTATTGATTTCTTAGTAATTATTCTGTCTCGCATTGGTGTGATGATTGACAGACTTCTTTGGCAGCAAAAAATAATAATCTCACAATAGTATTTATTTGATTTTTAGAGTACAATTTACGTAATCAAATTCAATAAAAGTTTTTAAGTTTAAGCTTAATATACAAGTTAATTGATAATCATACGACATATATAAGTTAATATATTTTGCGTTTTAAACCGTTAAAAGTGTTTTACTTTTAAATGTGTACTAGTCGCGTAAACTACAGACCGATCCTGTTGTGGGTGTTACGAAGTAGATAATATTTTTTATTCCTTTTATCAATTGAAACAGCGGTGGTTTAAAAAGCCTACTTTAAAAACTAAGCATACAATAAATGCTTAAGTTATAATTTTAATATCACAGTAAGTTGATGCGATAAAGAGAGAAAGTTCGCTACCACATTTAGGTAGAAATATCTCTAACAACTTTCTAGACTTCGCTTATCGGATGGGAGGAAGTACTAATAGTAGGACCAGCGGTGCGTGTGAAGGTTGCTTTTCTCAGGCTTTCAAAGAAATTACATTGAAATAATACATGCAATTATAGGCCGCTTCCGCAGTTTAGTTATTAGCTCATTTAGCTTTAAAATGAGCTCAACTCCCTAAGCCAAGTAAACAATTACAAGTATGCAATAAAATGCTAGATCGAAATATTATTTTATTTATTTTTAAAGTAATTTTAAATCTACACTAAAGTTACAAAGCAGAAGAGTTTGTATGTTTGAACGAGGTCATATTAGGAACTACTGGTTCGAATTAAAACTCATATAGAACGGGTCAAGATACCTTAAAAAGATGTATGAAAGAATAATCCCTCTTTAAATGATCTAAAAAAGTCTGCAACGCTATATTTATATTAAATACTGTCTATAGTTTACGCGAGTACACATTTAAATAAAACACTTTGACGGTTTAAAACGCGATATATTAGTTAAACTTATTTGGAAATGACTTATAACTTCGGCTCGACGTTTCGGATGCTTTGCAGCAGCCGTGGTCACGGGCAGTCTCCCCGTAAGTTTAACTAATTTATAGCGTTTTAAACCGTTAAAGTGTTTTATTTAAAAGCTATATGTATATCTTTTAATCTTACTTGCAAGAACGGCGGGAAGGGACGCAAAGTACGACGACGTCATGGGTTAAGTTTATAAAGATGAAGGGGTTTGCAAAAACAAATTTGGATACTCAAAATGACGATTCTCGCGGACGAAGTCGCTGACACAGCTAGTCGTATATAGCTTACAACTGTTCGTTTTACATAATATGTAAAAAATAAGTATATATTTTATTATTTTTCTTAATTTCTTCTAGATCTTAGTATCTCACTATAATTATTATATAGGCTAAGGCTTTAAGGATAAAATGATAATACTTTTTTAAATTGCAAATCTTTAATTAAATTAAATTTAAGCGTAAATAAACGATATATAATTCACGTGCAACTTTGCTTATTTAGAACTAATTTTAAGGTTTCCAGTTCCCAGAATATTTAGACAAAACAAGGCATTAGGATACTACAGTATAAAACAATAGTATAAGCGGTAAGTCAGTCGCGCTACTAAGGTAAAGAAAGTTTGATCATGTATAGTACATGATATATAACAGAGTGGACCAGCCTTTTGGGTGTAAAAATCGTAAGGTATCGCGTTTATAATATTATTTTTTAAATAAATTTTTAGAATGTCGTCTTTAGTGTACGTGAATAGTACACATTTAAATGAAACAATTTAACGGTTTGAAACTCGATTTATTAATTGAACGTATTTGAAAATTATTACTGCTGAAATTATAGGCTGTAAAGCATCCGAAACGTCGAGTCTTTAATTAAAATAATTTCCAAATAAGTTTAACTAATATGTATCGCGTTTTAAACAGTCAAAGTATTTTATTTAATTAATAAAATTAGAATCTTTGAGCTAGGTAATGTTATCTTCATTCTTTGTTGATACCAATCTGGTTGAAGATATTGTTGGGCTATTATATATATCAAGCCTTATTTTATAGTGCAGTCCCAAAAAATCCTTTTGCGTAATCATAGTACGGGGTAAGTCGGTTCGTAAGTAATGCCACAGCTGTTGTCCCTAGTCGAGATGTGAAGGTAACCATCTATGCCCCAATCACGACCCCAGGAGTTTTTAATGATCCAGTATTCCTCACCATCCGTTTGACCATACCCAACTAAGGTTACTTCGTGATTTAATTTTTCCGGTTCACTGTAAATATTAAATATAACAAATGTATGTAGTTTATACAAGAAGTAAACACTATCTGTAGATTACGCGAGTAGTACAGATTTCAATAAAACAGTTTAAAACGCGATTTAAATTAAACTTATTTGAAAATTATTGTAACTACTGACTGACGTTTTGGATGCTTTGCAGCAGCCGTGGGGCAGCAGCTGTTGCCCCGTGACTCAACTGCTGCAAAGCACCCGAAACGTCGAACGTAGTTACGATAATTTTATAATAAGTTTAAATAATATATATTGCGTTTTAAGCCGTTAAAGTGTGTCGTATAAAAGAAGTAAACATTTAAATAAAATATTTTTGGCGGTTTAATACGCGCACACAATTTTTGTACGACCAGACGTTTTGGAGCTTTGTTTGCAAAGCATTCGAAGCGCCAAGTCGTAAGTTAAGTATAAGTCAACTAACAAACATTGTTTTTTAAACAAATTATCAATGATCATATTGTTCTAATAAGCTTATCAAAGATACTACACGTGGTAACTACAAAGTCTTATTAACAGTTTTTACGAAATAAAATATGCTCTTACCAAGTAGTATCGTAATATATCCCTCCTGAGTATGAAAGAACCTTATCTGTGGCATCCATAGACACAGAAAGTGGACCATGGTTTAACAATGCGACCTAAGATATAAAAACATATATTTTATAACGCGTGTTACACGGTATAAAGCCAGTTCCTTTAAATTTTAGATTTTTAGTTTCAAATCTGCACTGGGCATATAGAATTAAATGTTGCAAGACATTTTATGAATCTCAAGACTGTAAATTGAATTTGGTACTTTGCATCATGTGCACATGTGAAACATATTTAAGGTTTTAAAATTTTATAATAAACAAGCTGAGTCAGCGACTTCGTACGTAGAATTTGGATATCAATTTTTGTTCTTGCAAGCCCCCTGTTCGACTCTATAAATGTCAGCTGTTATCCAGGACGCCGGCCGCATGCCGTCGTTCTTGCAAGTTAGTCTTAAAAGATAGACATATTGTGTCGCGGATATTTTTTAGATCATTTAAAGAGGTTATCTTTCATACATATTGTTTGGATGTCTTAAACCATTTTCGCAGCGTACGCATCTGAAATCCACAGAGATGAAAAATTTCTCCCGTTGTGTTTACATTTCTCGCTGTATCATCGCTTTTATTAGTCACAGCGCAATGTTTTAGCCTATAGCCTTCCTCAATAAATGCTCTAACCAACACAAAGAGAATTCAATTCATTCATATTCATTTCAATTCGAACCCTAGCGCCTGAGATTAATGAGTTCGGTCAAACAAACAAACTCTTCAGCTTTATATATTAGTATAGATACAAACTTAAAATAAAAGATGTTCTGGATTCTCTCGAGTGAATTACCTTTAAAGATTCAACGCTATACGGTGTGACATCGACATATCCTCGAATTGGATAAAGAGACGTCATATTATGGATACGGCAGAGGCCATTCTGTGGAAACAAACATATGCACCATTAATGGTAGCAATGGCTAAGAACAAACGGGTCGTGGGTATCCGTATTCGGGTCCATCGTATTAACCGTATTTGCCATAGTCTCCCCATGACCACTCATTTTTTTGTAGAAAAAAAAAAAAAAAAAAAAAAAAAAAAAAAAAAAAAAAAAAAAAAAAAAAAAAAAAAAAAAAAAAAAAAAAAAAAAAAAAAAAAAAAAAAAAAAAAAAAAAAAAAAAAAAAAAAAAAAAAAAAAAAAAAAAAAAAAAAAAAACCCCACCAAAGGGGAGAAAAAAAAAGAGAAGAAAAAAAAAAAAAAAAAAAAAAAAAAAAAAAAAAAAAAAAAAAAAAAAAAAAAAAAAAAAAAAAAAAAAAAAAAAAAAAAAAAAAAAAAAAAAAAAACTCCCCACAACAAAAAATTTAAGTTTAACTAATATATCGCGTTTTAAACCGTTACAGTGTTTTATTTAAATACTACTCGCGTAAACTTCAGACAGTGTTTAAAATATTTAATTTACTTATTAATTTCATGTTGAGACACTCAGTGATAATATAAGCGTAACCTAATATGTAGTAAATTAGAAAGAATCGGACAAGGTACTGAAATGAGATCAGATTTGCCTAGAATACGAACAGAAAAATGTATCTACCATCATTGCATAGTGGCTACAAATATAAATCGAACCATCATACCTTATTAGTGTAGGGTCCGTACTCTTCTTCAGTCGGTAATCCATGCTTCATCATCCATTGATATGCTCCGGTATCAGTACCACCTTCACAACCATCGTTATCAAATCTAATAAGAACAAAAAAAGAAACACTTCAGTAGATTATAACAAAAATGTGTAAAATTTTTATTCCTCTATAATGTTTAAATGTTAAATTTTCAAAATTTTCAGTTACTCATTTTTGCTTTTAATTTTAATCTCCTGAGAATTAATTTATTTCCAAACAGAGAATCTCCTTTATCCTTCCTTGATAGGACTTTGATGGGTCGTGGTGTACTACTCGCGTAAATTACAGATCTCTATTTTCGTGTATTGTTTGGTATCCTTACCCCCAAGAACAGTCTAAAAGGGCCTGATTGCTAAGCTTTATGAGTCTGCCGTTGCTGCGAGCAACAGCACCCTCAACGGCGGAGGTCGTGCCGAAGGTCCAACAAGAACCACAATCTTCTTGCTCTGAAAATATAAATTTAGCGTTATATGCTTTTTTATATATTTTAAAGCTACTATAGTAAACGTCTATTAAGCTACTTTAACTTATACGTATTGGACAACTTTACTTAATTATTTACGTACTTATTTTTATGCCTAGCAAAAGCTCCAGACTTGGTCTTCGTGGAAAGTGAGTAGTCAAAAGTAGTATAAAGTTCTTTTTCCAAAAACATATTTCGAATTAAATAAAATAATGAAAATCTGATTAGTACCTAACTTTACCCAACTCAGACATTTGTGCAACACAAGTCTGGTTCCGCGGTGGTAACACAGTCTCCAGATAAACGTATTTTTATTGACTTCAATAAAGCCTCCAGGCTATAAGATGCGTAATATAAAACCGTACTTCGACTTTTAGGGTTTCAGACGATCAGAATATATTAACTCTTCCACACTCAGTTTGATGATGTATTTTTAAAATACTAGCTACGTCAGCGACGTCGTCCGTGTAGAATAATTATTTTCATCAAAATCAGTTTCTGTAATCTACCACACCTTTATAATCTTTAATGACATTGTCCGCGACCATTTTCCATAGCGTTTTCGTAGCGTCCGCAAAGAAAACTCACAGGGATGACCGGTTTGTTAACAAACAAACTCTTGAGCTTTATACATTACTATAGATTTATAATTCCTATACTATTGATATAATTCGAGAATTTAATAGCGATCCTACCTTCAACGGGACTAATAAAACCAAACAATCGAAGGTCAATCTCCTCTGGTAATGTTGACGATATTTGTTTTATTTCCGATGCACTGTACGGAAACGCTACTGTGCCCCGAGTCCTTTTATTTCGCTTCAATCCCCTCAGCTTTTGCAATTCGCCGTGTGTACGGTCAGAATATTTGTTTATGCCGAGTTTAAATCCAGTATTGTTACGGTTGTTGGCTAACACACGCCTGAAATGTATAAAACGTAAAGAAATATCAATTTGAGAAAAGAAATTGTATTTTCATTTCAATGTGTATATAAACTTCGTTGGACGGACTTTAAACTATTAAAATTATAAAATTAAATAATAATACTGGCAATAAAAAATACACTTTGATACATGTAGTATCACAACGAGTGATAAAATCAGTAACATATAACTGAAATATAAGTGCACGTAATCAAGAAATGTATATGTATAAGTGTGTATAATTTGTGTTTGTGTGGGTTTGCTTACTTCAGATTTTCTTGGAATATGTTCTTTCTTAAAGCATGCTCATCCTTATCTTTATAATTTCTATTATGCTTTTGCTTGAAGCTGAAACAAGTACTGAAGATTTAAGAGTCACTCAAACTCAAAAAATGCAGTTACTGTCCGTAGTTTACGTCAGTAATACTCATTTATACAAAAAAATACGGTTTAAAACTTATAATATATCAGTTAAACTTGTTTTCAATTATTTTTAGATACCAGACGTTTCCCCGTGTCCAAGTTGCTGTAGAGCATCCAAAAAGTCGGGCCCCAGTTAAACTAAAATTGTAAACAAGTCTAACTAAAATATTTCACGTTTTAAACCAATAAATTACTAATTTAAAAATGCAATTATTTCTGACTTACGATTCAAAGGCGGAGTCCATGTATTCTTCGTTATCGTTTGACACAATGACTGGTTCTTTTTTGTGTACCTTCTGAGGATTCTTACAGTCTGAAATAACATTATTTGATTTGGAAACATTTATATAGTGCAGATGAGAAATTATCTAAAACTAGCTGTGTTAGTGACTTCGTCCGCCTAGAATAGTTCCTCCACTTTATAAATTATCCCTGTTACCCACGACGTCGGTCACGTCCGGTCGTTCCTACAAGGTAGTCTTAAAAGATTTTTTTAGATAATTTAAAGAGGAATCATTCTTTTATACATAATTTTTGGGGATTTTGAACCGTTTTCGTAGCGTAATCAACGGAAACCCTCAAGTATTAATAATTTTCTTTCTTTGGTCCGATTAGTCACAGCGCAATATTTTACAGCCTATAGGCTATGACCTTCCTCGATAAATGCTCTAGCACAAAAAAAAAATCATCAATTCGAACCAGAAGATTCTGAGAGTAGCGCGTTCAAACATGCAAACAAACAAACTCTTCAGCTTTATATATTAGAGTAGTTACTCACAGTTTTCTACAGTAAATACATCATCATCGAATTCCGTTTGAAAATTATAAAAATACCATATTACGTGTTCAGTCAACGCTCCAAGCCATGTATTAAAAGTTTGCACTTTTAGCCTAAAACAAACACAGTGAATCTAAATAAAACACTTCTAACAGTTTAAAACGCTAAACATTTTAGTTAACTTTAGTTTAACAGCCGACCGGCGTTTTGGATGTTTTATAGTCTGTGCATCTGTAGTCGAACGAAGTCTTTTATAACATATTTCGAGTTTTAAACCATAAATAATATTTTATTTAAATACTTGTCTAAATAAGATATTTACAAAATGCACTGAAGGAATATAGAAATTGATTTTTTAAATGCACACATATCATACTTACTTAATCGGTATCCACGTTTCGTTGTCCTTTAATTGCGCATGTAAAACTTTTCTTTCCTCTTTCGGTGTATCTAAATCATCATCGCTAAAGCTGAAGAATTCATGAATATCTTTATCGGTTGACACAGTGTCTGAAATATGAATAACGGTTTCAGGTCCACCTCTTACCGGTAGGTTAAAAAATATGTTACATAAAAAACATCGGGATATAGTTGAGACTTGGACAAATTTAAACGATGACAATAGACGGCGAAACAATAGCTCTGTTCGTAGAAGACGGTAGTGGGTCGAGTCGTATGTTATTGACTTTTTCATTCTTAAATTTTTATATAAGCTTTAATTTTTTCTGTGTTAGTGTCCACTGTGAACAAGGGCCCCCCCATGACTTCCAGTACGACCGGTCTATCGCTAGTTTAATCCAGCGTTTCCCTGCTACCTTGACCAGGTCGTCGGTCACCTGGTAGGAGGTTCCAGGTTTTCGACGTCCGGTACGTGGTCTCCACTCCAGAACCTTTTTGCCCCAACGGCCGTCAGTTCTACGAGCGATGTGCCCAGCCCACTGCCACTTCAGCTTGCCAATTTGATGGGCTATGTCAGTGACTTTGTTTTTCTACGGATCTCCTCATTCCTGATTTACTTTTACATTAATTTTTTCTTTAGTATGTGAAAATTTTAAATAAATTAAAGATCGCTTATAAAATAAAATAAAATTTACGACTCGGGCAGGACTTGAACTGGCATCTACAGCGTTCCGTACTGTTGCTCTAACCTATCCATTCATGCACCTCTCGTGCAATTTGAAAATCTTAAGAAAATCATTGAAGATGAAATTACAAAGTTTATGTTTCAACACTAACATTTTTCACATGTGGCACTATATAAATTAAAAAACGACTATAAATTTATAACATGTGAATAATGTTAAAGTTTTCCATAAGTAAATATTATTTATATCATACTATAATATATAATACAAGGAGTACATACCTTTGTATATAAATTCATCCACATCTGGAAGGATTTCATCTAGGGAAATCCTCGAAGAGCGCGAACCGACCTCAGTTGTACAAAACATTTTGTTTTCAACTTCTTCAGTTGTCTTCGGAAAAATCTACAAAATACATATAACATTTCATTTGCAGAACGTTTGGAAATACGTCAAATTATAAAGTGTTACGTGTTAATAGGAAGCAAGAAATGTTTCTCTTTAAATGAACTCGTTGGGTCAGTTGCAGAAATGAATGTGTATTTACACGACTATTTTTTGGATTTTCTAAACTTTTAAACATTTTTAGGGCCGGGGCTATAAGGTGTAAATCCAATTTTAGTTTTACTTTGCGGATGTGAAATGCTTAAATCCAAAATATGTTACCAACTTATTTCACCGTGCACGTATGTCTTCTACTGTCATGAAACAACCTTAAATACTTACGTTGTATTTAATACCATACTTCTTATTTTTCTTTTTCTTAAAAGCAAAGGTCTTAACTACACCATTATTGTAATCCACTCGTGATATGTTATCTTGTCTCCTAAAATATTCAAAATCTTCTTAAAAAGTGGTTAAAAACATTATTTAAACAATTGTAAGTAGATATTAAATTGAAAAAAATGTATGACATAGGCAGGATCTGAACCACGTTCCACGTTCCGTGCTGTTACTCGATGATGGCATCACGTGAAAAATATTAACGATTTCAAAACATAGGAAGTCGTAGAAAAAATCAATTAAAAATAAAATTATTTTCTTGTTTTTGAAAACTTATTTATAAAAATGTATCGTTACTCGTTCCCCTTCGTAGGATGCGCGTGAGTGATAGATTTAATAAACGGGGTAGTTCTTTTAACTTCTGTATCCTGTTTGACCTAAGCTATTAGCATTATAGTTAGATATGAAGCGATTTATTATCAGAGAAAGTATGATTTTTACCAATATTGAAAATCTTCAACTCGAGAGCCGGATATAGCCCACTTTTCCCCCTCTACGAAATATTTAGATGGCCATTTCAAGTCCGGTAAGTCATCACCGTCATTCACTGCAATATGTTTATTCAATAATAATTAACACACATCCATTACAATCCCTGACCTTAAAAAGACAACTTTACACAAATATTCTAGGTCAAAGTTTTTTTTTCAAATTTAATTGTCACCAAAGTTCCAAAATTAGATAAACATATATTTCTAATTAGCATTTTTGTATGTAATTTATTAACATGCATTTTTAATATTATCGATTGGCTATGTGAATTAAGAGTTTTATACCTACATAAAACAATAATCTTTGATTCGATTTTTTATCAGCTATTTATAAAAGTATACTCATATCTATAAACTAAACATATATAACAAAAACATACCAATGATTCCATGGACAAGAGATATTGTTGTCACCAAAATTAAGCTTATACAATAAAAAAACATTTTTAATTTTGCATAATAAAGCTTTAAACTAATAGAGTTTTATGCCAAAATTTGCTTTATATATTAAAATTATGAGGTTTAATTAACATGGGCAAATTAATTAAGTAGTTATTCCTATTATAATACATGGAGAACAAAAAACTTAATATGGATTCGTCGACTTTTTACTAGTTTTCGTTTTAGTTTAAGAAGTTAGAGTTTTATATAATACTAGCTGAGCCGGCAAACGTTGTTTTGCCATATAAATTTTACTAAAATGTCTATTAAAAAATAAGGGTTGATCGTAGAAGGGCGAAAATTGAGGATTGTATGTATTTTTGTATGTTGTATCATAGAAATTAAAAATTTTGTCTAAAAATAAACAAAAATTTTAAGGCTGAACAACCCTTATCACTTAGGGGGATGAAAAATAGATGTTGTCCTATTTTCAGACCTACTGAATACACATATCAAATTTGGTGAAAATCGGTCGAGCCGTTTCGGAGGAGTTCAAGTTCGAACACCGTGACACGAGAATTATATATATTAGATAGGTCTAACAACAGATTATTGGTATCGATGAACATTTTATTAAATCATAATAATGATGGACAAAATGGCGGACTGCTCCAGATAAATACCATTGAAGTAGCAGCATACTTTGAAACACCAAAAACCCAAAACAACTTCCTTGTCCATAGAATCTTTACCTAGAGACCATAGCTGTGTCAGCAACTTCGTCCGCGTAGAATAGTACCTAATTATGGACATCCAAATTCGTTTTTGCAAAACTTCTTTTCATCTTTAAAATTGTATAGCCTATTATAACCTTCCGCAATTAATGTTCGAAGCAAAACAACGTCAATTTTTAATTCGATTTAAGATTAGCGCGTTCAAACAAACAAACTCATCTGCTTTAATATATATTAATATATTGGTTCCGCAAAAAAGGCATATCCATATTATGACCACTATACTTACTATGCCACTCATTAATTTGTAGTATAAAGTAGATTTATTTTTAATTAACAAAATATTGATAAAGAGTTGATAACAAATCAAAAAATAATTGTAGCCAAGGTAAAGCCATTTTTTATTCTGGATTTCCCATACAGTGTACAAATATAGTTTAACATATGGTTATAGCAAGTTGCATAGTAGTGGTAAGTAAGATAAGTAAGTGTTTTTTTTAATTAAAATTATAATTGTGTTCTTCATATAAGGAGAACCAATGCGTAAAATACAAATACTCAAATGTGTAACTTTGTCTTTATATGCATACTTATTCATCGGTCAAAATTATGAGCTCACTAGTTCGAGGTTAGCAAGGTATGTTTGAGCTTGATAAAGAGCTGGGGGTTCCTAGTATGATATTATCATCGGAAATTTGATATCAAAGTCGATAACCCCAATAGGTCGACAACATGCTTTATTTGTAAATGCATATTTCACCTTCTTAAAGTGATCTTGTGCTTATGTGTCCTCTTTCACTAAATAATTTTTTCTCTTCACTAGGTAACGAATACGAAATAGCGGGTATCCTTTACTGGCAAATGAAACAGTTTATTATAAAGTACGTGAACCAGACCGGCCTCACATGAGCTAAGCTTGCATCAAGGGCCATTCAAGAAGTTTCATACTTAAAACTTTTACTTGTTGCGCAATTGCGCATTCATTTGAACTGGATGTAACCCTGGAACTTAGTCCAGGCCTAATTCAGTGAGGGAAAATGTCGAGTGTCTACTTACTAGGGCTGTCAACTCGCTTATTTTAAATTTTACTGTTCCTCTTCTGGACACATGTGTTCTCTACCCTATTCCATGCTTAAATTCGAACCCCCAACCCTGATCCATTTTGAATTAAAGTATTAAAAATTTGAAGTAAAACTGTACCTTCAGTCACCCACTCACTCATTCCCCTGTATCTTCACGTAAAGTACCTACGTAAAAATTACACAATTAAATTGGTTCTAGGAATTTAAATAAAACACGGTTTAAAACGCTTTATATTAGTTCAACTTATTTAAAAATGATTTTTAACTTCGGCCCGACGTTTCGGATGCTTTGCAGCAGCCAGGAAAAAGCGAGCATATCAATTTAACAATTCAAATGTAATTGTGATTACATCTACTGTGTATTGTAATAAAGTAGTATTATTTTTGCGTTACAATTACTGAGAATTGCGCCATCCCTAAGCGAAACACTAACAAACTTTACAAGCATTTTGGGTTATCTCTTCGGCTTGATGTTTTTTAATCAGAAACCTTACTTTTATCAGAACCTTTCTGGTTTGTATAAAAGCAAGTTTCAGACTACAGATGTTATTTGAACTAATAATATCATGTTTATGAAGAAGTCTTTTACGAAATAATTGACCAAATCAATATTGTTTTAACGGTTTAAAGCACGAAATGAATAAATTAACATATTTACAATTAATTTCTAGGGCCCCACGTTTCGGTTGCTTTGTAGATGTATTAGTTCAACTATATTATAGAATAAATTTGAAGCTGAATAACAGGTGTTTAGATAAATTTTAGTATGTTCTTCTTTTAAAGAAATTAGGGTGGACTGAAGATGTATGGTGTCCCTAGCCTCAAAGCCCATTTTTTCTACGCTAGCGCCATCTGTAGCCTAGCAGTACATTCCGCGATTTAATTCGTTAAAAGTCTCCTATTTACACGTGTACTTGTTTGCGTAACACTGTAAACTACAGAAAATACTTAATATTTCAATTAACGGCATACTATAATCGAAAAAGTTTAATAGAAACTTATAACCAATACACAAGTGTTTTACGAAATTTCGCAAGTGTAAATAAAAGCAAAAAGTCGTCAACACATTAATTGGTTGCACATAAACTTCTCATTTTATAATAAAACCGAGCTAAAAAGGAGCAGACGTGGGACCAGTTTTTAGCTAATTAAGAAAGCAATTTGCGAGTTATTTATGAGTTATAAAAGAATACAGAGTGCTTTTACCTGTTGAGTCAGACGAAATTGGTTTGATGTTTTAAAATAGGAGCGACATGCACATTCGTCTAAAAACTATGGCGCAACTTTATTCGGATCCAAAACTTTATATCTTTAATCAGATTTAGCCTTTATAACGCTATATACGTAACTAGCTGTGGCCGCGACTTCGTCTGCGTAGAATTGCTATTTTGGCCAAAAAATTGTTATTGCAAACTTATCTTTTTAAATTAATTATAGCTTATACCCATACTCATGTAAGTTAATCTTAAAAGATAGTCACGGATATGTTTTGGTCTTTCAAAGAGGAATAATTCTTTTATATTTACTTATCAGGTATCCTGTACCGTTTTCCGGAACCCTTAGAGATGAATAATTTTCCCCGTTTTTGCCACATTTTCCACCGTTTCTTCGCTATTGGTATTCAGAGCAATGTTTTATACCTAGCCTTCCGCAATAAATCATTTTCTATTCATTCTGATGATTCTGAGATTAGCGCGACAAACAAACAAACTGTTCAGCTATATAATATTAGTCGAGATGTGTCACCAGAAGTTAGATTTTATTCCTCTTGATTTATTACAACTTAATCTTATGAACAATAACGTAAATTTATTTTTATTATGAAGTGTACTAGTATCTCATCTAACTGTCACTTTATAAAACCTTCCTTGATCTTTGATAACATTATGTGTGTTTGCTACCAGTTACAAAACTATCATTTATATTAAATGTAGACACACTGTTATTGACATAAATTCAAATCAGCTGGTAAAACAGTATACTATATACAGGATACTGTTTTTGTTTGATTATAAAAAGACAAGAGTTTAATTGTATGAAGAATTATTTATAAACATGTAACCCTCAAATTCCTTACTTAATAAATACATTGTCTCAAATTACGATAAATGCAAGATCCTGGGTTCGGATCTGAACTTAAACATTTTTGGTTAAACTTAGTCACGAAAACTGATCAGGTGCCTGTAAATGACATCGATCAACAAAAGAAGCACAGAAATATATCTGACACAAGCCCCTCAAAGAAAACTTAATATTTGTCTTAGTCAAAAAAGTTAGCCTGTATCTAACTATAAAACCATTTAAGTACAAAACGGACGTCTACACATCGATAAACGTCACGTCGTTTGTTTTTACTGACTGGAGAGTTGTAGAATATTTTTAAATTGTCTTTTTATACGCTCAATTAAGATAGTCGGTACTAATCGTACTCAATTAATTTAAAAGGGCCGCTGTAGTTGATGTAATTATGGGAAACGAGAACGTATCCTGGTATTAGACCGCGAGGCCCTGGAAACTGAAAAAAATAGTTATTCATTAAAAAAAACCACTTTATCGGTGTTAAAACGAATTAAATATTCATTAAACTTATTTGAAAATTATTTTCACTTCGTTTCGGATACACTTCTCGACGTTTCGGATACAGTAGCCGTGGTGATGGGGAGACCCCGTTAAATAAGTTATAATAACTAATAAACTTATAATTAATTAATTAACTAATATATATCGCGTTTTAAGCCGTTAAAGATGTAAACTACACTTAACTCACGTAAACTACAGGCTAAAAGGTAACGAAAGGTTTATTATTTCTTAAAGTCCGAAAACTCTCTTCTTCTACAACAAGAATCCATGAAAAATATGAATAAATATACTACGTCTAAGTTTATAAGACAATTAAATTATTTTTCAGCTTTTCAGTAAAATACACAGTACTTTTATTAACATATCATTCATTTACAGATTATGCTTGCGGCGTTCGACGAAGCCACTAAGAAGACACAGAGTTTGTTGTGCGCAGGTGCTTCGAAAATTTTTACTGTTGTCTATACCTACACCTTCTTTCGCGTAAATACGAAGGGAACTACAGACTTTCCTACGCTATATTATACATTACAAGATCTCCGCATACTTTCTACTATTAAAAAAATGTCATAAGAATGAAATTTATTCTATCTATATATCTATTTATATTTGGAAACTATTGAATAAAAAAAAATTACATACTGAATACGTGACTGGAGTCGCGCAA